ATACATGTCAATCAGTGTACCCGCACTGCGCCCCAGACGCAGAGGCATTTACACAGTCGCCCTCATGTGAGGATCCACACATGCCCGAGAGCAAAATATTTCAGTTCCAAGTGTAACACAGTTTTGTGAGATATAAGAACCAAGGACAGCTATTGAATAAGAAAAGGCCTTTCAGTCATTCCAAACTGTTCCTTCGATAGACTGTATAAAACATCCCTTATCTTTGGCTCCAACTCACCCATTGCATCTCCTGGAAGAAAGGTAAGCATAGATACTCTCTGAACCCTTCATCTATCCCTGTATCCTGCACTGGACACTTACCCAGTTATTTTTGAAGGGATAAATGCCAAAGTATTAACTGCCTTTATTCTCTATCCCTTTTTTTCTGTCTGAATGATTTCAAAGCCTTTTGCCTTTATTGTCACTAAGGCACGGTTACTTTGGAATGTTTGCATCCATTGCTTTTAGCTGTTAGCCGCACCTGGCACTTGGAATTGTCTGTCACAGAAGAGAAGCTGACTTGTCTGCTAGAAATCATTACACCTTAATGTGAGAAAAAACTGAGATGGCTGCTTGACTTCACTGTGACCTACAGCCTAAGAGATAGTTTGTGATGGAATACTTCCTCACATACCTAGACACATACAATCATTGGCTGATCACAAACAAGCATTTGAATAATCTGTGACTTGGACCATCTCAGTGTCCTGATGATGAGGATGAGGTAGCACAATGGCAATGATCTTATTTGGGTTTCACTGTTAGTAAACTCGGCTCCAGGAGCCAGTGTAGCAGAGAATCACTTTAGTTTAACTGAGCTGCAGGAGTCAGCCTGTTGGGTTTGAAAATGGCAGAATGCTGTGCATTTAAAAGGAGCGCCTAAGTCTATGTATAGCATTTTATGTTGGTACATTGCTATGCATTAAAAAAAACTCCAGAAGCCTTTCTATAAAGTTTTTTTTGTAAGGATTTGTCAGTTGCAAGTTTGATAGTGAGTTAGCATGAATTGAACTGGGATTTTAAAACTTGATTTAAGTGGGCTAAGCAATCTGAGATGTTACCCGCTTGAAAAGCACTATATAAATGCAAGTTATTTTTGTTGCTGTATTCTGGTTTATAAGAAAGTATTGTAAGATAGCTCCTTATGTTTGTGATGCAATGCATTGGATGCTGTCAAAGCACAATTATAAATTAAAAGAAGTATTATTACAATGAAAACTACTGAGGTAAATCCACACAGCAGCAGACAGAGCAGCACGTTTGACATTCTAGATGCTGTGGAATAAGAGTTTCCTCAGTAAGGAACAAGGCAGCTTCATGATCCTGGCTGTTCCTGCAAAATTCTCCAAGGTGTCTTTTAACTGGATTGCCAGGGGCCAACAAATAAACAGTACTGATGAGTATTTAATGATGCTTTGAGAAACCCTGTGGAAATAGAAAATAGTACAGTATTGTGTTTATTTTTCACAAATCATTATGGTTTTTACTACTCTCTTAGCTTAATGTATTTAGTGTTGCACTAATTAATAAGCATTGTGTTGTATGTGTTGTCTGGCAATGTATTGTAGGATAGATACACGCTGCTTGTAGCAGCTCAGGCTGTTTTCTGGAGTAATAGGGAGACACATACTGCCCAGATGATGTTAACATTGGAAACATCAACACAGTAGTTTGTGTGCTAGCTTATGTTTTACTTTTCTGCTAAAGAAATTACTGTTGTCGGAATAACCTTGGAATTTATATCATCGTTGCCATCTACTGTTAGATACACAAAAAAGATTTACTAATCTGCGATGTTTGCAGTTGTCTTAGTTTCACTGTATTATTCCACACAGTGTATTGATTAAAACAATGTGTGAACCCAAACAGCTAAGGGATATGTGGCCATGTTTTCCATTCTCTTGTTCAAATGTTTTCAGTTAATAAAGAAATGCCTTTTTTTTTTAAAAAGTGCTAGATACTTATACTACATAATTCAAACAGTGGTGCATTCAGATATTCCTTGCTCGGTATTTATGTTTTAATTCATCTCATGCCCAAGCACCAAGACAATTTCATCTTTGGTGCTTGTTGTAAGGGGTATATTCTGTACATTCTATAAATCTGATTTCCCTCTCCCTAACCTAGAGCGCCAAAGCCAATAGTGGCACCCAATTCTGTGTAGTTGAGCTCAGCTAATTCACACATAACCACAACTGCCTACAAATATAATAATGATCTTTGCATGTGATATAGCGCATCATCATGTCACTGAGATGTCTCAGTGCACTTCAATCTCAATGTGATTGTTGACCAGGCTCTGCGAGAAACTCCCTTCTCTTCAAATAGTTCCATGGGATCTTTAATATCCACCCGCACTTCCAGGCAGGCCCTCAGATTAATACCTCTGACAATGTGACATTACCCCAGCACTACATTTGAGTCTAGATGTCCCTTGCCTTGCCTGCCCCACCATCGAGCGGGCCTTCTGCCACACTGCCCCTATCCTCTAGTACTCCATCCCGCAGTCCCCCTCCCTTGCCTCCTTCCAGAACCATATCAAGACCCTCCTCTTCGACCGTGCTTTCGATGACCCTCCTTTCCTCACCCCGCTGCCCTGTGCCCTTCCCAATCCCGACCCCCAAGCTCGGGTCCGAAACACTATCTGTCCAGCGCCTTGGGATGTCCTCCCGACATGAAAGGCGCTTTACAAATGCAATTTTGTTGTTGATGTAAATTCGCTCAAGGTGGTGACATGGTGTAACTCCATAACCTTCTGACTTGACAGGGAAGGGCACTACCAAATGAGCCAGGCTGACACGTCACGAGCAATTTTCGTCAAGGCTATTTATTGGTGTGCAAATCCAGCGGGCAATTTGTGCAGCACCGTTCATCTGAACGGGTAGAAGCGACCTTGGTTTAACCAAAGGCACCTGACAATGTAGCACTCTGTGCTGGGTCGCCAGCCTCGACTGTTGAGTTATGTCAATGGCACCTTTCATATACGGGGGGGAAAGAAGAAAAGTGTGGAGGTGCTTCGGGTGCAAAGCAGTGATTGCGGCGTATCCTGTGAAGCGCTTTGCGAGACATCTCGGAGACACAATAAGGCGCTCTATCAAATGCAAGGATTATTATTGTTGTAATTGTTTGGGGAGGACAAGTTTGCAGAGGTATGGAGAGCGAGCGAGCGAGGGAGCGGGATTGATTCGGGGAGCGAGGGAGGGAGTGGGATTGATTCGGGGAGCGAGGGAGGGAGTGGGATTGATTCGGGGAGCGAGGGAGGGAGTGGGATTGATTCGGGGAGCGAGTGAGCGAGGGAGTGGGATTGATTCGGGGAGCGAGTGAGCGAGGGAGTGGGATTGATTCGGGGAGCGAGTGAGGGAGGGAGTGGGATTGATCGGGGAGCGAGTGAGGGAGGGAGTGGGATTGATTCGGGGAGCGAGGGAGGGAGTGGGATTGATTCGGGGAGCGAGTGAGGGAGTGGGATTGATTCGGGGAGCGAGTGAGGGAG